CTCTCCACCCCCCCCAGCACTCAGGCTCACACTCCCCTCTCCACCCCCCCAGCACTCAGGCTCACACTCCCCTCTCCACTCCCCCCCAGCACTCAGGCTCACACTCCCCTCTCCACCCCCCCCCAGCACTCAGGCTCACACTCCCCTCTCCACCCCCCCCCCCAGCACTCAGGCTCACACTCCCCTCTCCACCCCCCCAGCACTCAGGCTCACACTCCCCTCTCCACTCCCCCCAGCACTCAGGCTCACACTCCCCTCTCCACCCCCCCCCAGCACTCAGGCTCACACTCCCCTCTCCACCCCCCCCCCAGCACTCAGGCTCACACTCCCCTCTCCACCCCCCCCAGCACTCAGGCTCACACTCCCCTCTCCACCCCCCCCAGCACTCAGGCTCACACTCCCCTCTCCACCCCCCCAGCACTCAGGCTCACACTCCCCTCTCCACCCCCCCAGCACTCAGGCTCACACTCCCCTCTCCACTCCCCCCCAGCACTCAGGCTCACACTCCCCTCTCCACCCCCCCCCAGCACTCAGGCTCACACTCCCCTCTCCACCCCCCCCCAGCACTCAGGCTCACACTCCCCTCTCCACCCCCCCCCAGCACTCAGGCTCACACTCCCCTCTCCACCCCCCCCCAGCACTCAGGCTCACACTCCCCTCTCCACCCCCCCCCAGCACTCAGGCTCACACTCCCCTCTCCACCCCCCCCCCAGCACTCAGGCTCACACTCCCCTCTCCACTCCCCCCCCAGCACTCAGGCTCACACTCCCCTCTCCACCCCCCCCCCCAGCACTCAGGCTCACACTCCCCTCTCCACCCCCCCCCAGCACTCAGGCTCACACTCCCCTCTCCACCCCCCCCCAGCACTCAGGCTCACACTCCCCTCTCCACCCCCCCCCAGCACTCAGGCTCACACTCCCCTCTCCACCCCCCCCCCCCCAGCACTCAGGCTCACACTCCCCCACGCGCCCCGCCCCCCCCCAGCACTCAGGGCTCACACTCCCCTCTCCACCCCCCCAGCACTCAGGCTCACACTCCCCTCTCCACCCCCCCAGCACTCAGGGCTCACACTCCCCTCGCCACCCCCCCCAGCACTCAGGCTCACACTCCCCTCTCCACCCCCCCCCAGCACTCAGGCTCACACTCCCCTCTCCACCCCCCCCCCCCCCAGCACTCAGGCTCACACTCCCCTCTCCACCCCCCCCCCCCAGCACTCAGGCTCACACTCCCCTCTCCACCCCCCCCCCCCCCAGCACTCAGGCTCACACTCCCCTCTCCACCCCCCCAGCACTCAGGCTCACACTCCCCTCTCCACCCCCCCAGCACTCAGGCTCACACTCCCCATGTGAGCACCCAGGTCACCAGCAGGTGGTCTTCTCAAGCCCTGGGCGCCCACCCTCCCTGCCAGCTCTCCCCGTGGCGCGCGGGGTTGGGTCTTGCTCTAACTCAGAAACGCCTGGGCGGTGCCCTCCCGGGCCGCCACTCGCGCTGTGCAGTGAAGGAGACGCTGGTTTTTGCGTTAATCCAGGCGGCCCTGGTGCTCACTTCATCTTATTAACACGCTGAAGCACAATGATTGGTTTTTAAGATTAGAACAGCTGTTTATTCCTGGGGGAAACCTGCTCGGCCCCTTTGCTTGATCACATTATGTGTATTTTTTACATATTATTGAACTGAATTTGCTAGGATTTGGGGAACAGTTTTTACGTTTTCGTTCCTGAGAAGTGCTGGTTGCTGCTGCTGGGTTCTGGCTTCATGCCGGGGCTGTCTCCCGGGTGCTGGTATCGGGTCGTGCTGGCCTCGGCGGCACCGGCCCCTCCCCTCGGGTTCCGGAGGCGTTTCCGGGGAGCCGACAGTCGTTCTTCCTTCATGTGTTTGCAGAACTCGCTAGTGAAACCTCCTGTGTGCCTGGGATGTCCTCCCGGGAAGACCTTCGGCGCCAGGTGGAATGTCTGTAATAGACATCGCGAGTTCGGGCTCTTGCTTCGATGAGCTTCGGCAGTTTCTGTCCTTCATGAAATTTGTCCACTAAAACTAAGTCGCCAATTCTATTTTTTAATATGTTTTTCTATTGATTTTAGAGAGAGAGGAGGGGAGAGGGAGAGAGAGATAGAAATACCGAAGAGAGAGAATCATAGATCGGCTGCCTCCTGCACACCCCACACTGGGGTCAGCCTGCACCCGGACCTGTGCCCTGCCTGGGAATTGAACCATGACTTCCTGGTTCACAGGTCGACGCTCACCACTGAGCCACGATGACGGGGCGAGACCTTGCTTACTTTCTAATCCAGGTGTTCCCAGCTACAGACTGTCCTCCCGCCTGATTCGACAGCATCCCACAGAATTTATACAGTGTGTTTTCATTCTCACTCAATTCAAAATATTTTCTAATCTTTGTTTGGACTGCTCATTTGGCTTACTTAAATGTGTGTCATTTGGCTTTCAAAATTGGGGGTTTTCCAGATATCGACTTTGTCACTGATTTCTTTCTCTCTTTTTTATACTTACTATTACTGGCAGATAAAGAAGTACATGAGGCCCAGCTGGTGTGGCTCAGTGGTTGAGCGTCGACCTATGAACCAGGAGGTCAGGGTTCAATTCCCGGTCAGGGCACAGGCCCAGGTTGTGGGCTCGACCCCAGTGTGGGGTGTGCAGGAGGCAGTCGATCCATGATTCTCTCTCATCATTGATGTTCCTCTCTCTCTCTTCCTCTCTGAAATCAATACATATATATTGTATAAATATTTTAAAAATGTACATAAGGCAAGCCTGGGAGGTTCCCGAATGCTGGGGCCCCGTCCCCATGAAGTCGGGGTGCAGCCACCCTCCAGGTGCCTGAATATATTCACCAACGGAAGCGCCCCTGAGCCCGGTGTTCAGCATTTTAAATCCAGGTTTCATTACCATCATGGAGAGTTAGACCGGCACCACCTGAGTGAACTCCAGCCCAGGAGGCTGAGGTGAGGCCGGCTCCCACCCCCCAACCAGAGGCCTCGTTGCTCCCCTGTGACCGGCCCCTCCCTGCACCTCGCTGCGGCTCCCCCCGGGAGCGTCACAAGCATCAACTCAGGTGGCGTCCAAAGTGACTCATCAGGAAAAACACAAGGTAATCCTTCCGGGAGATTCCAAGCGTTTTTTGAAGCTCTGCGCCGGGAACCAGAAACCCCGGGAGGGGTCAGACGTGTCCTGTATCACTGCCTCAGCCTTTTCCTGCCCCCCCCCCCCCCCCCCCCCGCTGTGTTCAGAGAACTTCCTGGGAAGGAGCTCAGTGACCCACAATGTGTTGGAAATGCCTGTGACCGAGAGTAGGATTGTTCTGGATTAATGTTCCACCGGCGCGAAAAGAACGTGTCCTCTGTGGCGGTCGGTGCCGGAAAAGTCAGGTTTGCTGCCAACGGTTGGTTACTTGGCCGATTTTAGTGTGGAAAGTGTGGAACTTTACTTATTTTTATTAGTATTATTCTTTAATCCTCACCCGAGGATATTTTCCCATTGATTTCCTCAGGCCAGGCGGCTAGGGTGGGACCATTAGCATCACAAAAATGCCCTTGGGGGACCTGTGACCTGACTCTTTCCGGAGTCCCTCCTCTGCCCGTGGCTCCCTGGCTGCCCTTCCTCACGCGGCCTCCAGAGCCAGGAGCCTTCCAGAGATGCGGGCAGGGCCAGGTGCCGGCCCTAGGGGTGGGTGAGCAGTGGTGGAGGGGCATGCATTCAGTGCTCCCTTCCCTAGGAGCACCCAGGCCCCCCCCCCCAGGCTGTCCACGCCCCCCCCCCAGGCTCTGTTCAGACCCCCACCCCCATCCCCTCCACCCCCACCCCCGACCCCGCGAGGCTCTGTCGGAGAGGCTGAGGGTCAGAGACGAATAAAACCCAGGCAGGCGGTGCTCACTCAGGCCCCCTGCTGCAGGGGAGACAGACGGCTGGCACTTGGACTTGGACCAAATGTATCCTGAACAGGATCCGTATGGACACATGTAACGTAGTCCATTATATACAATGTATACACCCTGTTTATTTGTTCCTAAGTGTACACAAATATAAACTGTTCGTCATGAATATAAACAAACTTTTATTCAAATTCACATCAACAGCCACAAATGCGCGCGCACGTGCACACACAGCTAAACGCTCAGAACAAACTGGAGCGGGACCAGGGCAGCCTGAGCTGTCCTGCCCGGCGGGGGAGGGACACCTGAGCGAGACCGCGGGGGGGGGGGGAGGGCAGCAGCCGGAGGCAGCGCCGGGCGGGCGGAGGCCGTCCTGGGAGACACCCGCAGGCTGCGCTGCAGGCGTGACCTCCCGGGCCCTGCGCACAGGTAGGAATCCGGCTCCGGTGGGCGCCCGGGCCTGAGGCCTTGGGCGCTGGGGCGAGGACTGGTCTCCCACTTTGTTAAGGAGAACACGGGGACCAGCTGGGAGGACGGGGCGGGCCTCTGACCGCATCCCAGTTCGGGGTCCAAGAGGAGCACCTGCCCCCGCGCTGGCCGCTGCAGGCTCCCCGCTCCCCTGCGTCCTCTAGGCCTTTCCTTCCCAGGCCCCGGAACCACGCGAAACGGACCTGTTTGTAGGCCCGACTTTCTCAGGACCCCGACTCTCTTCTGTGGCTTTGGGGCGGGTCCGGAGGCGCGTGAGGGTGCCGTCCCAGCAGATGGGCCCCCGTTCCCCGGGAGCGAGGACCGGGGCTGCGGGCGGGGCCCACCGGGACCCCCTGCGCCCCAGGTATGGGCTGCGTGGGGGAAGGTGCCGCGGGGGTGCAGGGTCGTCCCAGGTGCCCAGCGACACCGGCCACTCGCCGCTCCTCCTGCAGCCTCACTCCTGCCGGGGCCGCCCCTCCCGCCGCCGCCCCCGCCCCCGCCCCCGCCTCGCAGCCGCGCCTCCCGCCCGCACCTGCCAGAGGGGGCGCTCCCTCGGGGGCGGAGGTCCGCGGGGCGGGGCGCGGGGCGCGGGGCGGGGGCGGCGGGGCCGGCGGGCGGGGCGGGCGGGGGCGCGGCGCACCTGGCTCCGGCCCCTCCCCGCGCGCCGCCCCGCCGCCCGGCCCGCCGGCCCCTTCCTTCCTCCCCGGCGGCCCGCGCGGCGGACGAGGGGTCAGCGCGGAGGGAGTGGGTGCGGCGGCGCGCTCCGCACTCGCCGGCCGAGCTCCATGGACGCGCCCTGCGCCTCGGCGGCCAAGCCCCCCACCGGGTAAGCGGGCGCCGGGCGGCCGGGACGCGAGCGCCGGGGAGGCGGCGGGGGACCGGGGGAGTGTGCGGGGCACCGGCTCGGGGCGCGGGGAGGACACGGAGCCGCGGGACAGGGGCGCCGGCAGCCGCGCTGGCCCCGGGCAGGGCGCCCCGACTCTGGCCCGCACCCCGAGCGCGAAGCGGGTTGTGGACTTTGTGCGCCGGGCGGTTGCCCCGGTGACAGTGTCGGGCGGAGGCCGGAGCCTGCTCGCGGGCGTGCGCGCGCCCTTTCCGGGGTCCCCGCGGGCAGGTCCCCGCCGAGCCCTCGCGGTCCCTCGAGCGTTCGTCCCCGGGGGCGGGGGTCGCGGGGGTCGCGGGAGGGCCTGGCTTCCGACTGCAGCCCATCAAGGCCGTGCCTGGCGCCGGCCCCCCAGCCTGGCCCCCTGTCCGGGCCACGGCTCCGCGGGAGAAGGGGGCTCGCGGCGGGGGGAGGGGGGAGGGGGGCACCGGCCTGAGGTTTTCATGACGATCGCCCCGCACCCCCGACTTTTTAGTCCGGGTCCCGGACAGTGGGCAGGGCGCGGGGTGGGGCCGGCTGACTCGGGACCCAGGCCTTGGACCTGAAGCCGCTGCCCGCACCTGCGCTCCCGGGTGTCTCCACCCCACGCCTCGCGGGTGCGGGTCCCGTGCCACACGCACTGGGGCTCGCGGAGTCCTCGCCTCCTCCGGCAGCCCTGCCCCCTCCCGGACGAGCTGGAGTTGGAGCCGCGGAGTCCCCAGGCCGCGGGGCCTGGGCGGCGGGCGGGCGGGCGCAGCCCCGGGCCGGGCAGGTGCGGCCGGGAGGGGTGGGAGGGGTGAGTCCGGCGAATGGCACGAGGGGCGGCGGCACCTGCTCCCCGGCCCGCGCTCCGCTCAGCAGCTGCTCGCGCCCCGGCCGCCCTGTCCTCCCGGGGAGCCCAGTGACTCACCCTGCGGGGCGCAGGCCTCGCCGCCCGGTCAGTGAGAGGGACCCACACTGATACCCCAAACCCAGCCCTCCCCACCCCGCGGGGGAGGGGCCGGGCCGCAGAGCGAGTCGTGCTGAGCCAGGAATGTTGACAAGAACTTTTTTTTTTTTTTTTACGGAGCACTGAGTGCGGTTATGTAATTCCCTCCCAACAAACAGGTCTCCCCCAAAGACAGTGCGGTGGGGAGTCCCTGCCCGCCGTCCGGCCGCCTTTGCCCGAGCAGGCCGGGCAGGGTGCCCTGTGAGTCCGTGCTTGGTGGCCTGTTTGGTGAGCGCGTTAGGAGGCCGATGGCCTGTGAGGGCGCAGCAGAGGATTTCGGAGGCCAGCCTGGCCCTGGGAGTGTCTGCTAAGTCCTGGGGCGACTGGCTGCACGGGGAGCCTGGGGCCCCGCACCGCACTCTCCATTGGCGCTGGCCGGGTCAGGTTCCACTGTGTGTGCTCCCTGCGCCGCGGGGCCTTCGCCTCGGGCCCCAGGGAGCGAGGACCCGCGGGGGATGGTGGCCCTGGGCGGGTAGAGCATGGACTTGTCCCTGATGCTCCAGCATCCGGTCTGCTTGTTTGAACGTCTTTGCCCAGGAAACATCGGCAGGTGGCTGCATCGCCTGTTCCTCCCAGTTAGTTTATCGGTTGTCACTTGTGTTAGGGCCTTTAGTGAAGAGACAGCAAGAACATAGCCATAGGGCCCGGCCCGCGTGGCTCAGGGGTTGAGCGTCCACCTATGAACCGGGAGGTCAGGGTTCCCTTCCCGGTCAGGGCACAGGCCCGGGTGCAGGCTCCATCCCCAGGGGGGGGCGTGCAGGAGGCAGCCGATCCATGATGCTCTCTCATCGTTGATGTTTCTCTCTCTCTCTCCCTCTCCCTTCCTCTCTGAAATCAATCTCTACATGTTTATATACCTATAAATCTATATATATTTATATGTCTATAAGGCTATACTGTGTATCTATATACATCTATATCTATCTATATACATACCTATATAAGAAAATAGCAATATGCTTCTATTTTCCAGGCAAGAATTACATGTTTATTCAGAGGGTGAGTTAAAATCCGAGGAGAGCACTGGTTGTGGGCTTTTTTAGTCTTTTCTGTACCGTAGGAGCCTGGCTCGCCCACCAGGAGAGAGAGGGAGCGAGGTGTCTGGCTCTGGAGCGGCTGTGGCCGGGCTCCTGGTGGCTCCACGGGGCCTCGGTGTTCCTCTCCGGCCGCTGTGCTGTTGCCTGAGAGCCAGGCTGAGCTTGCCTCGCGCTCCAGGGGGGTGACCGCGGCTTCTCTCGGGTGCTGCCGCCACGGCTGTCAAGTCAGACGAGCGTTCGGTGACCTGAGTTCCCACCGAAGTCGCGAACAGCACTCATTCTCAGGGAGCGACAGGCCAGGGGACGAGGGGGGGGGGGTGATTTCGGGAGCGTGCTGGGTCCAGGAAAGCCCTCCTGTGGCTGGTTGGGGCGACAGAGAGATGACTGAGTGCAAACTCCCGGATCGAGTGCCTGGCTGAATTATTAATACGTAGTTATTCCTTATCTTTGCTGAGAACACACAAATGCATTTTTAATTGGGTTGAAATTGTATATTTTTCTCAGTAGTTTTATTAGAAACAGTGACATGACTAACTGCACTGCCTGGGAAAGTTATTCTTTGTTGTTAATCTTCCCCCGGGATATTTTTCCATTGATGTTTAGAGAGAGTGGAGGGAGGGGGAGACACCGGGGGAGAAAGAGAGACGTGATGTGAGAGAAACACGTGGATTGGTTGTTGCCTCCTACATGCGCCTCTGACCGGGGATCCAGCCCACAACCAAGACACATGCCCTTGACCGGAATCGGGACCAGGACCCTTCAGTTCACGGCCTGGTGCTCTACCCACTGAGCAAAACTGGCCAGGGTGAAAGCTATTCTGTCAGGAAGGAGGATGGATACAGAAAGGAGCCAGCAAGGCAGACGTGGTGTGACTTGAAGGAATCTTAGAGCTCGGTTGAAGTATAATAGCTGACAGACCACAAGGGAAGGCAGACGGTCTTTTGGTAAAGTTTTAGAATATATTCAGGCCCAGTTAAGATGACCTGCTTCCTTCTAGTCTAGTGGTTCTTAACCTTGGCTGCACATTAGAACCACCTGGGAATCTTTTTTTAAATTAATTAATTAATTAATTAATTTATTTTTTCGGAATCTTTTTAAAATCCTGATTTCTGGGCCCCATCCTCCGGAAATTCTGTTTCTTTGTTACTAATGTTGTGGCCTCACCCCATAACAAAGAAACAGAATTTCCGGAGGATGAGGCCCAGAAATCAGGATTTTAAAAAGATTCCCAGGTGATTCTAAGGTGCAGCCAAGGTTGAGAACCACTGATCTAGTCTATCTGTTTCCTTCTGAGACCCACCCCAAGAGCCGGTGGTGGAACATGGGGTTCCGTTTCCCACTGACCTCTGTGATTAAGAGGTAGAGGGCTTGGGGTTTGGCAGGACACGGGTCAGTCTGCTTCCATGGAGGAGACACACGTGTGCGTGGACCGGAAGGAGCTCGCGGTGGCGTGAAGTGTCGCAGCAGCAGGCACAGGTGCTCAGTGGCTGCCTTCGACGCGAAGCTTATGTGAAGCTCAGTGGAAGCTTGCCGACCGGTTTCATCGCACGGGAGCTTCGTGGACACATTGCCGGGGTTCCCTTCTCTAATAATTTAATCAAGTTGTTAGAACGAGGAATAATTTTTTAAAAATGTAATCGGAGTGGGGAACTTGAACTTAAGTATAGCAGGCCTGCGACCCACAATGGCATTTGCCATTCCGTCCTGGAGTATTAACAAGTGTACCCCCCAATACGATGTTTAGGTACTGTGTCTCTACTTAGAAGATTTTACTTAAAAGTTTTCTGGGCTCTGTGGCCACCGTGTTAGAAAACGTGTTTCTATTTTTTAAAGTGATAGCATGTGTAATTACTTGTTCATTAAGCTTTCCCATTTAATTTGAGCTCTATTTTTAAAAGATGCACTTCTGAGCCCTTCCTTTTTCTTTGTTTTGTTTTTTCCCTATTCAGTTTATTGGGGTAACATTGCTTAGCAACACTCTATGCATGAGCTGTTCTTTCCTAGTACGTTGGGTTGGCAGTTCACCTAAGAGCGTAGAAGTTGGGCCTTCTCTGATGTGAAGTGGAAAGTAGGCCCAGGAATTTTATTCTTTTGTAATTATAATTTTCCTTAACAAATGAGAGGCGTCGGACATGTCCCTGTCACAGTATCAAATCATCTCATTGCATTTTAAATACTCCCCAGTGGCTGTGGGTGTGTAAGGATGATGGGACTAAAGTATGATTAGGTCGGTGCCGCACCGGGCTGCCCCGCCTTCGGAGCCCTGGCTGCCCGCCCCGTGCCCGGCCCGGTGGGGTGGCAGCCACACACGCAGGTCTGGGTGCAGGGCCTCTTTCATTTGGGATCTGGGAAGTGAGGTCATAAAACGTGTGTGCACCCAAGAGTGCTCCCATCATTATTAAGAAAACAAGATTATAGGGCGTCTCTGCAGACCATAATAAGCGGCTGAGGTCTCGAGGCCTCCGGTGCCCTGCTATTAAACGCATCGCCCGGCGTTACTGGGATCAGAAGCCCTAACGAGGGAGCAGCGATATTTGATACCAAGTGCGTTCAGATTGAGGCTGCGCCTGTTTAAAATACAGAGGCCCTCGGGTCTGATTTAGATTTAAACTCAGTGAAAGCACTTAGGAGAGGGATCGAGTGTTTATGGTACGGTCTCCGTCCTCTCCCATCCACCTGTAGCCATGGGGTCTGTGGACTGGGGGCGCTGGTTAATTTTAGTTGCATATTTTCAGTTACTTGACACTGTAACGAAACCGAGATTTGACATATAGGAATGCTTTTATAAATCCTCATCTTTGTACTGTGTCTTTACTTAAAAGATTTACTACCACTTGTATGATCGGCTTAGACCAGTGATGGCGAACCTTTTGAGTTCGGCGTGTCAGCATTTTGAAAAGCCCTAACTTAACCTGGTGCTGTGTCACATATAGAAATGT